GTAGTTCGCGTCTGTAGGACGTGTTCTACTTGAGTCATTAGCACATCTGTTCCCGTATTTAGTCCCTTTGCTACTTCTTCATCTAATGCGTTTTCAAATTTCTTCTTTTCCCGCATGATGGCACTAAGGAAGTCGGAAGTATCGATGTAAGGCGCCATTTCCTTGTCAAAATATACTTGAATCATGCTTCCGATAGTATCGCCAATGTGAACGAGTTCGAAGAACCCGAGCAGAGGGGCAACCGCCGAAGTCGTTTTCAAGCCTTCGTCCTCACGCGTCGAACCGGGGGCCACAGGCGTATATTGTTGCATTCTAGATATAGCCCGCCCGAATCCTGGGTCGAGGTGTCGCTCGCGAAGGGATATAAGGAGTAAAATGAAGATCTCCTCTAGAGTTTCTCTGAGTTTCCTTCCGGATGGTCCCGGGAAACCGGTGACACTCCATGGACTGTCAGAGTCGTCGTCTTCTTCTGTCTTTACTGTCTTGGCTCTGGATGCTTTGGGGTCCGCTAGCGGAGGAAAGAAGCTCTCCAAACGCTTCATGGAATCACGAGCCGCATGGATGAGCTCTAATGCCACATCAAGTGATAAAAACAGATCTAGAGGTGGGAGGGGAGCATTGGCGACCGTGCTTGCTCTTTTTTTATGGCCAGGCTTGAATTTCGAGTCAAACGGGGACATTGGGAGGGAGTCATTCATAGAGGACACGGAGGCTCGTTTGTTTGCTTCAGTGGCCCAGTCGTCTTGCTCCACCTCTTGCTCTTCGACCCAAGCCGTCGCTTGAAAGTTTTGAACCCGTCCCATATATGCGCCTTCGCTATCTCCGGTGAGGGGCTTCACATATCCCTCGGGGGCCGGAACTGCTTCTCTTCCGCGAGTACTCCATTTTACCGGATTAAGCATGGATATGCCCGCGATACCACTTCGAGCGGCACCAGCGGCCAGAGATCCGGTTGTTTTTGCTGCACCAACAGCAAGACTTCCGGCCCCAACAGCCACTGTTCCAACAGCACCGACGGCTCGTGGTATGATTGTGACTGGTAACATGAGGACGTCTGTGAAACTGGCCACAACATTTCGCTTGACGAGCTGTGGATTATGGGAGGTCAAGAATCGGGTTTGGGTAGGTGAGGAGGGATTGATGCTTGAATGAATTCCGCGTCCCTGAAATCTTTATAAGAGGAGTAAAGTAGGTCGTTAGGAAAGCCTCACTTTCATGTCCCACTCCTGGCAGATTCTATCAAAGGAGCGTTTGACTGCCTCGACTTCTTCGTCCAGGTATTCATCCATATGTGGGTCGAACATTTTAAACCTGTCATAGTCAAGGTAAGTATACAAGACTTCTCAAAGCAGGATAGAAATCAAACGGACACTATCGCTTCGGCCTCTTGTCGCTCAACAGACTCTTCGCTAGTCGCCATCAGCGTCTCTACAATCTTCCATGACATGACGAAGCTAGCTGCTGTTGCCTGAAGATACAGATCGTGGCCCTGTTCCGCCGCTGAATCGGCCTCTGTGTCGGCGGGGTCATCATCCTCATCTTTAGGCTTTGGAATCCCTTTCGAGTTGAGAATCTCAGCGTCGATCTCCTTCGCCTTGGTCAGTAAGGAGTTGAGGTACTCTGAGATGACGTCGTTGGCAAACCGTCCGGTGAAGAGAAGGAGAACACAACTAGAGGCAGGAAAGACGACGTTGCATGTCATAGCGGCCGACGTGATGGACGTGAGCACGTAGTGCATGAAAGAATCCATAGGATCGAAAGAAAGTGTTTTTGATTCTCTAAAAAGATAATAATCAGATG